GAAAGGCAGGGCCTTGGGAGCCAGAAGGCTCTGGGTTTGGGTTTCAGTTTTGCAACTTGCTGATTTCATTACCTTGGTTCCAGTAGCCGACCTCCCTGAGTTTAATATCCTTACCTGCAGAATGCCAGCTTCATAGAGAAATTGTTACCATTGAAGATGACATCTGTCAGTTTCCGAGCACAAAAGCAGGTACATATTTAGTTTTTAATAACAACATTGGGGGACAGTTGCTATAGCGACTGGGTTGGTCCATAGCATTTAAAATAATATTAACCACCACCACACTGGGTACTCAATATTTCCACCTACACGGCCTATTAGTGCAAAGGACTATTCGGTCCTTAATTACAGTGCTGATCCCTTATTCCTAGTTTACGCTTCAGGAAACTGAGACGCCAGTAGGTTAAGCTGAGCGGCCTAAGGGCGTAAAGCCAATAAGATGTAAGGCAGCTCTTCAGTGAGCACATATGTTGAATTTAAAAGCAGGTGGTCTCCCCACCATACCACACTTTCTCGTATCATGTGAGACGAATTAAGGATACTGAGATTGCTTATTAGCATGTGTGCCTATTATTAAAATCCACAGTTTTCAAAGCTCAGGCTCTCAGAGTGTCTATCAGGCCTGGTCCACGGGCATTATTTTTGCCCCCGAGGAGCATCTGATCTATTGGCAGGGGGAGGTTGTCCTCACTAAGTGAGGGGATATGTCAGTAATGGGCCCGGAAGGTCTCTCAGAAATTACGAAGGCTTTGCAATAAAGGGAGATATGTTGATTTATTTTAGACCTGCAAACTATTTTTCATCAGTTTCTATTATTTTATCAATTTGTTCAACCAATAAACAGGTGTTGAGGTCTGTGTTTCAGAGGATGTGCTTAGGACTAGGAATTTGCGATTTAAGGATGCTCTGTGAAAAAGAAAGGTATCCACAAGTAACCGCTGTGTAGTGAGAGAATACTCCATGATGACTGACAGAAAGCTCCCAAAAAGAGCAAATTTGGAAAAATATTGCAAAGCAGCTAACATTTGAGCCAGGTCTTACGTATTGTAGGAGCGCAGACATCTAGTCACAGACCTTTGGTAAAAAATGCTAAAGATTCTAAAAAAGTACTGAGCTGAATTTCTAGGAAACCTTAGTATCTTATGTATAGTAATTCAGACTCGTGTTTCCTTAGTGGCAGTAAAATATTTTAACCCTGAGTGAAGGTTACCATAATGAGGACACGGTCGAAACAGCTTAAAAATATCAACCGCTAATTCTTCATGAAGAAATTAAGCCAATGAACGGACTTTTCCTTTTAGAATATTATTTAAGTTTTGGACACCGAGAAACGACTTGCTTATGGATCTACACCCAAGGCAAGGAAGCCTCTGCAGATGTGGTTCCTGGTATAGCCCATCAGCTAATATGCCTTAGCTGGCCGGGAAACGTCCAAGAAATCATTTCCAAACCAAATACACTCACTAAAGTGGTATTTTTATAACTTTAGAATGTCCCAGTCAACCTATCAGCTATTTACTTTGCATTTATAAATCGCTGTCCTAAATAATTTTGCCTGTGTGATATATGTTCTGAGATATAAAAAAAAAATTAAAAGTAGAATATTAAATTGAAGGGCTTTCTTCAAATGCACGCCCCTTTCAGTTATCTACTAAATAGTTAAATATAACACACAGTAGAATGTATATGAATATTAAGGGAATAGTTTGGATATTTTGGGTCTCTTGTTAATGGTCTGTAACTGATACCTTTGAGATACTAGTTCTGGCTTTTATTTGGACGTTACAAGGAAAAATAATCCTGCAAGTTCTGAGCATACCAGAAAGAAGTAACTGTAAGCAGCAAGGACCATCTTTATAATGGGCCCAAAGTTTGGATTCCCATACAGAGTCCAGTCATTGTTGACATGACTGTGATGCTGAGCATCTTTACACGAGTCGGTCCCCGTGAATTTGGTGCTTGCATGTGGAGCGGTGCTCACGCTGTGTTTTATCAAGCACAGATTGTGTTGGGATGGGTGCTTGTTCAAAACACCAAAAGGGAAACCTTAACTTTCTATTACTTATGCCTTTTTCCCACCAACCCTACCACATATTTTATGTTACAAGACATGGGATTTTTTGTTTGGTTTTGTTTGTTGTGGTTTTTTGGGGGGTTTTTTTTGGCAAGGTCTGCTTTTCCAACCAGTGTGATTTGTGATAAATCCAATTTTTCCTGATCTTTTCATGCAGATTTCCTATTTCCCCTCCGGTGTCCCAGTAAATAATATTTCATTTTAAACTGTTTCAGTGGTTAATATGATTAAGTTTATAATTTGACTTCGTAAAGCAAACATAATAAAATCATCATAAATAAATAATTTTAAAAATATTCTTGACTATTAATAATGTGAACATTTTTAGCATTCATAAAGTGTTATTTTTGTTAAAGGGCTCTATGAACAAATGACCATCACGATGTCTTTCTGAAGGTGACAGTGTTATTTTAAGAGTAAAGGGAAAAGTCCTGGCAGCTTATTATAAGTGAACACATAAAATACCACTTAATATTCATAAAAAACACTATTTTTCACTTTTTCTCTTATTAATGAAAGAAACGAGTCTTGTGTAGCACTTTGGCAGTAATCACGAAGTAAGTAAAGTTTCTGAAAATAGTATACAAACAATAGATTTTAAATCAAAAATGTTTATTATAAAAAAGGACCTTGAAAATTGGTTTTTAAAAAAAGAAACACGATTTCACAAGTCTCAGGTTTTTTATACGCGTTAGCTATAGAAAACATCTCCTTTTCATACAAAATCCATTCGGTCATATAAAAATAAACACAAATTTACATTGACTCAGCAACTATACAATTAAGGCACTTTGGAAAGGGTGCTGTGTGGATTGCATTTGTTGTATGCACTTAAAATAGTTTTAAGCACATTACTGAGTTTCTGAGATTCCTTTCTTGCACTTATTCCCATCTTTAATTAATTTTAGAAAAATCATTAAACATTATTTTTAAAAGTAAGACATGGAGCATGCACCAGGAATGTTCAAAGCTAGTCTTCCCCTCCTCCCCCAAGGCACATGCTGGTTATTGGCAAAACATAAACAACAACAAAAACACTTTTCATACGGCCTCCTGTGTTTTGTTCTTGCTCTATTTTTCCTCTCTCTCCTAAAAATACAGTTTTTAAAGCAATAAAAAAAAAAAAAAAGCTCTAGTTCAACAACGGTAACCAGACATTAGACACGTAATGAAGTAAACTTGGAACAGTTTATAAGGCACCTGAGATAGTGTCTGGCAGGTTCTCTTCCTACGAGAAATCCCATTACAAACTCTAGTACAAAACAATACTGTTCTTTTCGGTTGAAATGATTTGGCAGCAATGTAAATCTTTGCGTTCTTTCTTGGTAAGGAAAGATACAATGTGCTTTTTTTTTTGTTTCCCCTTTGAAGAGAAAGATCCTGGTCTCTTAGTCTCCCTCTCGAGCTGTCAGTAAATACACAGTCATTTTAAACTTCACATGGAAAGGATTAACTCTAAACATAGATTCCATGCTCCTGCAGCGCCGTGGGGGGGTGTGTGTGTGCGGGTGGGTGTGTGTCTGTACATATTATTTGGTCGGTATGCACGCGAGAAAATGCCTTTGGACTTTCCTTTATCCCTTGGAGCCGCGTGAAGAAATGCGTCCCATCCGAGGAAGCGCGGGTTGCGTCGCTCAGTGCGCCACACAGCAGCCAGACTCCTCGTGTTTGTGCAGCAGGGACATTCTGGAGAAGGTTTTGGAGCAGTTTTTGCACTGGTATTTCTTTACATCCGAGTGGGTCTGCAGGTGGGCCCTCAGGTTGGATCTGTCTGCAAAGGCCCGGCTGCAGTGAGGGCAAGAAAAAGGCTTCTCCCCTGGGGCGGGGGCGGGGGGGAGAGAGAGAGACGGTCAGTGTTTAAGAGGAGACACCGAGACAGACACTGCTCACCAACAACCGCATTCAGCCAAAAGCACGCGCGGCAGCAAAGCCGGATGAAAATTCCCCGAGACAGTTGCTGATTTTAATATCTGGCCCTCGAGGATACATTTGAATGTTGCACTGAAAGTCACGCTACAGTGTATCGCTGCTGCTGCGGTTACGTAGAAGTAACTCACGCGTTTCTAGGGCTTTCCCTAATGGGAGCTTCTTGCCTCAGCAGGTGAGGCTGATGTTCAGCTCCTCCCAACAGTCCCCTTTTCCCTCTTTCTGTACCATGACTAAGTCTGGAGAGGTGCCTTCCCTCCCTGCAGAATGTGCTAGAGAGAAAAAAAATCAGCAAGCAAAACAACAAAACCAGCGAGAGCAAATCCAGCTCTAACTCATGCGCCTTGCTCTGGGGCCATAGATGTCACAGCCCAAACATTACCAACAGGAAACTGCAGGCAAACCATCTCTCTGTCTATCAAGCACATCGACTGAGACGGCAACATTTACAGCTGCTGGTCATTGGAAGCAGTTTCAGAGAGCACACATCCAAGTGCACCTTTCCCGACTTTCTAACTGATCTTTGAGGCCAAACCCTCTGAATCGACTCTCCAGCGTCTCAGTCCTGTTTGCAGCCTCTGGAGCAGAGGCTGTTAATAAGAAACGGAGCAGTTGGTGCTCCGAGGACTTTTTGAGTCACCAGGAAGTAGCTATAAACGCCCGTCCATCATTAAAAGCACCGTGTCACTACTCAGTGCAAGTCCCAAAGCCAACCCAGAGCTCCTGCCTCCCCGAGAGCAACCTTCCTGTCTCCGTTTCCGCTTACCAGTGTGAGTCCTGATGTGTCCTTGCAGTAACCAGGGCCTGGAAAACGCCTTGCCGCAGATCTTGCAGACACAAGGCAAGGTGTGAGTCCGGATGTGCATCTTCAGGGCGCCGAGGCTCACGTATTCCTTGTCACAGTATTTGCAGCTGAAGGATTTCCGGGCCTGGGCATCGCAGTGCAGCTGCTTATGCTTGGCCAGCCCAGAAAACGTCGAGTAGGTCTTATTGCATAAATTGCAATGAAACTTTTCCGCCTCGATGGCGTGGGGGTCTGAAAGCTTGGACTGCAGTCTCTCCTCTTCATCACTAATGGGGCTTTCGGAGCCACTGTGGTCCTTGGATGAGGTGTCGGACGGGGAAGGGGGACTCACTCGCCCCAGGGACGAGGCGTATCCGGAAAGAGAGGAGAGGCCGCTGGGCAGCGGGGAGTGGAAGGGAGCGGCCGCCGTCCACATGGTGATGGGGCTGTAGGCTCCCGAGCTGAGGATCTCCGGTTGCGGTATGACAGGCACGGGGTAGCTCTCATAGAGATAGGGGGAGATAATCACTGGGGGAAGAAAGGGAAAGAAGCGAAGATTAAGGTAAAACATTCAACAGACGCCGAGAAGCCACTTGGCAACACGTAGGGGACTTGATAACGAAGATTTCATTTCATTTCCACGCCAGCTGCTGTGCAGTAGTTACTGGATCTAACGCACACCGGTGCCCCCCGCACACACAGTGTGACAGCAGCCCCGCCGGGCTCTGCTGTCCGGGAGCACGGCCAGGCCAGGGCCTTCACGGTCCCCATGAGAATGAAAAACGGGTATTTTTAAAGACACAGAGAAGTTGCTTTCCGTGCCATGCACGGGCTCTTGGCAGCTTTTACGGCCTTGGGGAGGAAGGTGTGTGTCCATCAGGCCGCTTCCCACAGGAACGGAGGCCCACGCCACGAAAAAAGCAGCGGTCCCCGGTTAGTGCTGGGCTGCGCGTGGCCGTGTCCCCGCGGTGCGCACACGCGCGTCGGACAGGCTGCCGGCCCCGCGCCAGCCTCCCTGCCAGGGAAAAGCTCAGAGTTTTCAGTTACAATGTATCCTCAGCGATCAGCATGAGCTGCCCTTTTAGGACGCACTGAAGAGGGAAACAGTGTAGCATTCGGTTCTTTTGTAGCAGTATGTGAGTTGCAGCGAACATTTACAGTTTATAATGTGAGAGGTATACACACATAATTTCCTTTTTGTTCATTTCCCTCCCTCCCTCCTTCCCCCTCCCTCCCTCTGTTCCTTCCTTTTTTCTGGTTTCTGGTTTTTTGGTTTTTTTACCTGTGTGCGTGTCCAGTTCGCTGTAGTTGGGCTTCTTGGAGGCGTTGAAATGCTTCTTGACCAGGAAGGAGCGCGGCATCTTGCCGGCGGCCCGCGGCGCTGGGCGGATAACGGTCCGGCGGA